CATGTGTAGTACAGTTGCAACACTGATGCACTAACAGTGGTGCCCGCCGTCATATGCAGCCTCAGTGGGTCCCTTCACCCTCATAACACATTCACCCTCATAACACATTCACTCTCACACGTGTACAAATGACTTAAACAACAGCTGAACACATAGAGATAATTCCGGTAATCAGTAATGGCTGATGATCTGTGGATGCACTTTTCTTAACCCACTGTACAAGCACTGAGAATATTATAATTCATTTTAATAAGCCTTCATCGTTCTTAATGATGTCATGGGCACAAGACAAAGCTTTAAAAAAGACATCTTTCTTTTCTGGTTAATCCACTGAGACAACATGACGCTGCTACATATTACAGCAATGCTTGACTAGCCATGTCTCCCTTAGATTATGCTCACTACTAGTTTGTTTTTCCAGTTACGGTTCGAGGGAAACGTAACTGCTGCCAAGACACCGGAGATCAGCGTACGAGTCAGTACGAGAAACGTACTTTCACTTTCAGTGTCAGCAACAAGAGCCTGTTGGTTAAGGTCTGTGACGGACGGTGATTTCACTTTAATGTCAATATAGTAAATATATCCTGTCTCAACAGTAGAGCACCGCATAATTATAGTTAAGCACTCATACATATTCATAATGATTTATAGCAATAATCATAACACATGAAGCGTTTTATAATGACTTATAAAGGTATAATCTATGATTCTTATACTCTTTTTTATAACATTAGAATCACTGTTATAATGCATTATAATGTAATAATGTATACATTACTATAAGTGGTCATTGTTTGTTTTAAGTTAAGTGAAAAAATATCATTAAATCTGCAACAACACTCGTAAAATACATTTTCTCAGTGAGTGAAGTATTACGGTACTTGACCTTATAAGTCATTATGAAATGCTTTATATATGAATATTTAGTGCTTATAACTATAATTATACAGAGGTATAAGTTGATCATAATGTGCTAGGGTGATCATATATGCATTTCATATCTAGCAGACAGCTGGTTAGACACAAAACATAATCTGTCAAATGTTTGATACAACCAGCAGAATACGTTCTCACTGAATGATTTCACTGGACATTGTTAGTAAATTGACGCATTTATAAGCAGAACGGTTACAAGTGTGTGTGTGTGTGTGTGGGAGATGGGATGGTACTTTAGCTTTGGACATGCATTATTCTCAGATACCAGAAAATATGAATAAACATTTAGCTTAATGTTGCGTGAAAGATAGTAAAATAAATAGTAAAATAAAGTGATCTTTAGCAGTAATGAAAATCCCTTTTATGAAAACACAGGTAGAATATAAACCAGCATATTGTGCATGAGGTCATTTCCACATTTTCCAGTTTTTCACATTTTGTTTTGCAACTTGACAGTTTTTCTCACCATAACACCGTGCTACTTCATGTTGCCTCCTCACAACCTTCTGCTCTACGAGATGTAATTCTGATGACAGTCAGACCATTCTCATGTATGCAGACAGTGAGAACAAAGATCTGCATATTTTGCCAAGAAAGCCTCGCACAGAAAGAGCTGGGCTGGATAATTGCATTCCATGCAGGCGATAACGGGAAAATGTGTGCTCTCCACCGCTCGGCTCTCGCTGCTCTCGTCTACATTGTTGCTAATTCGTGAGCAGAATGGAAGCTACTGATTCCTGCAGCTCCCCAGAGGATGTCTTTGTCGTGTCTTGTATTTGACCTTCCGTTCACCTGTTGAACACGGAAGATGTTGCTGAGGAAGTGCACACAATGAGCATCACAAATGTTCAGCTACTAAAGGCAGGAGACAGGAGACATTGGATTTAAAAGTCACATGTGCGAGAAGGTTTGAAATAGAAACACTATTTGAAATGGGAGAAACAGTTAAAAGATATGGAGTTTGTATTTGTTTGGTTACATTAAATCTTTCCCAGTGTTGCATTAGTACGCATTAACGTATTAATTAGCAGGTAGTCAAGTTAAACCGTGGATTGGCTGAGGGGAAACTTCCTTAGAGATTCGGAGAGGTGCATCACAGCTGCATGTGTTGTATTCCTGCCATTCAACCCTGCAGCTTTGTTGGTGAGGGCAGCACATGTTACGTTAGTTTTGGGTCTGTATATGTGCATGCTAGTTTGCCTGTAGCTTGTGCTTAGGCTACCAGAGTATGTTGTATGTTTGAAGTATAATGCACCGATTTAGTTAAACCTCCAAACATTTCTTCTGTATCTGCTGCCGTCGGTCCTCTCAGGCCGAGCACAGCTTCGCAGCACTCAGAGCCTTATTTCAGCACACTGACACACCACAGCTGCACAGTGAGGAGGAACTGTCACACCGCTGCAAATCCCACTCAATGCACATGATAAGCCCTCAAAATAAAAATAATTGCTATTGATCAGCGAGCTGATTAGTATATAAAGATGTCTTCCTACTTACATCAAGCTCAATCCAGGTCTGTTGAATTCAAATGGTTGTTGCTGGTCTTTTTTACACACAGGGTTGTTACTTTATATATATTTTAAAGGTTGATACTAATATAACATATCTGTGTGCTAATGCCAGACATTTCTGCTGATATGAAATGTCCATAACAACATCTGCCTGTGTAACTCAAAATGGAAAACTGTCCGTCATCTGTCAGTAAGAGGAGCAACATGTTGAAGACGCACCAAGTAGTGCACAGTGTAGGTAGTGAAGTCTTGGTAATTATCACTACAAGAAGGGATCCACCAGCTGCATTCGTGGTAGCTTTAACTTCACACATGTAAAACTCTTTTTGGGGTCTAAACTTAAGGTTTCCAAAATATCTGACATGCCAGTAAAAAGATTGTAGAGGCTGCCCTATTTGCTAAATTGTTATAACATACAAATTTGCACAAAATGCTGCTAATTCATTGGTCAGTGTGACTGCAAGGGTTGATAACAATGTCGATTGATCTATCATGTCTATGTGATGAAATGCAAAAATGCTGCAAATATAGAGTTCAGTTATTGGGAATAATAATATAATTCATGGGATTTGTTTTTGTTTTGGAGGACCTAATGCATACCTGTTAATATAACATGCAAATCAGAAGAAGGGTGATGGGAAATAAAGAAAGACACTGTAAAGCTTCAAAGCTCAGGACGAACACTCTTCAGTACTTTCTGCTGTGATCATGAGTTCCTCTGGTCTCCTCCGGTAGATCTTCCTTAACCAAGTTACAGTAAGACAAAATGTTCCATGTTAGGTTTCTGCAAGCCGCAGATATGTTGAATATCACTGTTTCTGAACCAACTCTTGCAGAAATGCACAACGTTGTGAAACAATTGGCTAAGTTTAAGGCAACAAAACTAGTTATTTATGGTGAGAAAAACAGATCGTGATTTGTGTTCAAACAATAACATCACTACTGTAAGTAAACAACAACCAGCCTTTGGGATGGAATGTTACCCAACAAGCGTATTGTCAACTTTTACTTTTTATTCCTCAGGGGACCCAAGCAGTGAATGTGAGCCGTCCACCAACACTCCCACCCGCCTGTGACTTTGTCGCTTGTTATACTCGTCATTATACCACGTGTAACTTTCAATAACTGCTCGATATTCCACCTCATTTGCTTTGCGTTCTACTTGTTGCACTACGTTACTTGGTCATGGGCTGTTTTCCTCCACTGCTGGCCAGCTGACAGCGTCATCAGCTGCCGTACAGTCTGTTGACAGGATTACAATGCACACTTTTTATTTCCGGTGACAATCCCTGAGAATTGGACTTCATGGCTGCAAAATAGAATATGGCTCTGACGGGTCAAATGACACTTGACAGATGATAACCTGATATATCAATCCAACCCAGTTCCACGATCTAACATGGACAGAAAGAAACATTTAGAACCCACGTGGGAGATGAAATAAAGACCTTCTCCTCACGTTCAGGACATTTGAGGTTTTTTTTTAGAGGGATTCTTTGGCTGCAGCACAGTGTCCGACTCCTCTTGAAGAGGAAGCACAGGAGGTCACAGAGACCTCTTGCTTCCTTAACCCCATCCTTTATCACTGTACACCCAGACCCCCACCTCTGATCCAGCCCAGATGTGACCAACCAGATTGGACCCACCCCTCTGTGACTGATATATAGTTGCATTCAGATGGACAGTAATTCTGTCATCTTGGTGTCAGGCCAATGTGTGTCTGGGCTATTAGCAGCTGTGGCTGAAAAATTACTGACTGTCGTGTCCTTCAGTTTGCAGACAATATTGCAGCAAGCGGGGGCTCAATCTAAAAGTACACCCATCCCCCAGAGCAGAGCAGACGTGACTGGGAGAGGTGGTGGTGTTGGGGGGGGTGGTTAGGAAGAAGTGAGCAGGTTGAAGAGGTCTCAGACGATGCTCGTAAATACACAACACGGGGCACGGCAGTAACACAAACTCCCAACACAGCAGCACACACACGCACACACACACGCACACACACACGCACCAACAAGCGTCACTCCTTGTTTTTATGGTCTCCCCATTTCTCACTTGATCTGTTTTTGTAACATATCAGAGACATTTGGCTGCGTATTAATAGCATGCCAGGAGAGCTGATTGCATTGTTGAATTCAATTGAAATCTGAATCCAGTTTTATGGCCGAGTGAGTTTACACATAAAAGGAATTCAGCCATGTGCAATGTTTCCATGATCCACAATAAACAATACAAAATGATAGAAAAGACAATTGAAAAATACTTTGAAAAAGAGGATATTGATTTCCACTTCCATACAACATGAAGACAGATGCTGGGGGAGACAGTAATTATCAACACAATTTCAGTTTGAAAGAATATGGATCAGGGTCTTTAGTGTGTAAATAACAAAGAGAAGGAATAAAGCTACAGTATATACACGTATGAACAGAGTGAACCTCTGACTGTAGGTTTGCTTTAAGATAATGTATTTTTTCATCTCTCTCTGTGTGTGTGTATGTGTGTGTGTGTGTGTGTGTGTGTGTGGGTGTGTGTGTGTGTGTGTGTTTCCTGGAGGTGGGAGATCAAATGAAGCTGCTCCATAACTGCTGGTCTGAACTTCTGGTCCTGGATCACATCTTCAGACAAGTGCAACATGGACAGGAAGACAGCATCCTGCTGGTGACCGGCCAGGAGGTAACAACTCCCTCACACAACTTCCCACCAGCACAATGAACTGTCCGCATTCATTTGTGCTGCACTTCATTCAAAATATAGTTAAAGCCCAAATATTAGCTTCATTTATCAAATGGACCAGCTGTAAAACCAGTTGAATTAAGGACTTACCGATCTTTTTTGTTCAGGGTTGACAGCAAAATCTGATATCTTTATACTGAAGCCACACTGAAGTCCATGCTTTGCACAAAAATTTTATGTATTTTTAAATTTGCTCATTTACGTGCCAAAACTGCATGTACCATATAGTGTAATGTTTCAGCCTCTGATCTTTCAGCCTCTGAAACAGATGAAAATTAAAACCAAGAATTGATTTGCATTCATATGAGCACAAAATCTATTTCATTGTTTCTATTTGTTGTGGCTCATGAGGAGACTCTATTATATAAAAGGTCGACTGACAGTGAATGACATGTCATTGGCTTCATGATAAATGGTCAATATGACCCGTCCAGTATTCCAAACCTCAAAGACATCTTGTGAAAGTGGTGGATTTGATTTTGCAAAACCTAATTCTCATAAGCACGGCTGGAGGAACCCTGCATTCCTCCCACACCATTCCAACCATTTTACCAGCTCTTTGGCTCTGTGAAGACGTCTTAATACAATAATTATTAATTAATATGAACTGTTTAACCCGTACACTGCACAGTATGGGTGGCAATGAAAGGCTTCACACTGGTATACGTACAGTATGTGTAAACCTAGTTGACATTGGAATATATAGGCAGGAAGATGACGGGATGATTTTTAAGTTAGAAGCAGCCTTCATTTTGAAAAAGCACATACGTATATGGCTTAAGTCACCATGTAACACATACCTGAACACACTGCTTCGTCTACACTACAACTACTACTACTACAAATCATATTGAGTAATACACTTCATTTCTCAAATGATATAACTGAAGGAGAGAAAACATCTTCAATTTCTCAAAAAAAGCCAAGTTTGGGGATTGAATTGTAAAGGAATTCACTGACCTAAGTCCGATGTATACAAAGGACTTAGAGAATAACTGGAGCCTGTGTTTTCAGGTGGAGCTGTCGTTCATCCTGTCCCAAGCTGAGGCAACTCTGTCCAGTCTGGTCCAGAGAGGGCAGGAGCTGGCGGCGAGGCTGCGGGCGCTGCAGCTGGACCGCAGAGAGATCGCCTGTCTGAAATTCCTTCTCCTCTTCAACCCCAGTGAGTCGGCCTCATGTGTGTGCTGCATCGCTGTGATGAATGTGAAGACGGTGTGGCTGGAGATGAAGTGTTAAATAAAATAAACAATAGTGAATAATGAAACCAGGCCAGTGATCATCATCTGACAGAAATGATATTTTGAGAAGAGATGCTGTCTTTATAGCTAATATCTGAATCATTGGGTCTCACGCAAAATCAGATATCAGAACAAATTTTTGTTCGCATCCACAATTTGTTCTTATTTTGTTCGTACCCATTGATTTCTGGGATTCACCAATGTGTTCTTATGTTTGCTCTTCTCATACAGCGAAAACATATGAGTAGTCGAGAGAACTGTCCAACGCAAGGAAACAGGTTTTTAATTTGAGGAACATAAAAAAACACATTAATATAACACAATAAGATTCAGATTATTATATGTTTTAGAGTTATTATATTAATTCGATTTTTAAATAAATATTATTGGTCCATTGATCCAATGATCAAAACCCTTGGATGATTGTGAACAGCTAACATGCTACTCTTCAATGCTGTTTGATCTTCCTTTAAAGCCTGAAAACCGCATGTTGACTTTGTGTAAATATATTTAACAGCAGTTCAGTACCACTACTGCTGAAACTCTTCTTCTTACAGACTTTCTTTGGTCACATCGATCCAAATGGTGGGCACGTGCCAGAGTATCTGCACATAGCACAACACCTGCCCTTATATAATCTATGCTAACAATATACAGCCACCACATGCCTGCCATTCATGATCAAGGGGATTCTTCATTCAGCACCCCTGGTAAGAGCAGATTTGGATGGTTAAGAACATTTGGAGATGACATCTCTCGCTAGATAAAATATGAGAGGAATTTGAGAGAATGTTGATGCATGAGGCCCATAAGGCTAAAACAGCTAAAACAGGAAAAACTCTATTAGCATAGAGCCTCTTCCTTCAAACGTTAGCGTTAGTCAGAGTCACTGATCTTTGATTGACCTGTCTACGAATGAATGTGTTCCTGAGCGTAGGCCTGAGCTTACACGTGTAGCTTGTAGACTGTGTGCTTTCAGAAGAATGGCGTGTTTTCATGTAAAAATCAATCAACTTGGTTGGGCTGCGGGGTCATACTGATGCTGTACTTTGGCGGAATTTGAATAGCAACACTGACATTTTAATGAAAAAAAAAGTCACAATTGCAGATTATCTGCAATACCTATTTATCTGTAAGGTTACAAGCATTTTCCAAAGTGGCCTTTTTCCCTCCAATAAATTCACTTAATTAAATTTCTAGGGTTGACAAAAGCCAGTATTAACAAAGACATCCTCCTCCACCATTGTCCACTAATGGCATTCAAACGAGGCGTAATGGATGGTCTATCATTCGATGGCAGGACCGACATTCATGTGGCGGCTTGTGCAGATGGAGAGAGCATAGATGTAGCTTGCCCAGATTCTCAGAAGTGTTTGCTGTTTAGCGCTGGCAAGCGGGGAACAAAGAGCTTTTGAATGGGGAGAGCACTTGTCATAGACAGAGAATATTTGCAGTCTTTGGCTGCGGCTTCTTTGCTCTCGCTCTCCCTCGTCTTCAGAGTCAGGTTTGTCGGGGGTAATTTAATTGCCCTTAAGCAGTTTGAAAAGATGATTCAGAACATTGATTCAAAACATTTAATTACTGTGTGAATGGATTCTCCAAGATGGGCTCAGCCGATGCTGAATGCCGGTCCACCGGAGGGCTTGGCTATTGTCTCACACAAACACGCATACACACAGCCACCCACACTCCATGCACTCACTCTATCTCATACGTAACATATAGACACAGCATACAAACGGACTCTAGTAGCTAGCATTAGTATCACAAATGAATGGTTTACATGCACCATTATGACTGTTTTATTTCTACTTTCTGATATAAAACGTATGTAACCTAACAACAACAATACCAACAAACTACAAATTGAAGAAAACGGTCACATTTTACACTCAATATTGGCTATGAGCAGCTTGAGCACAAATATATGATCTGATCTCAACTAGAGTTTGCTCAGCTGAGAGAGAGATGGCTGACTCCATTACCTGATGACCATGAGATGTACCTGAAAGCTCTAGAACAAAACCGAGTACATTAACTCAACCGCAAGATCAGACTATTGACCAATTACTATTTCCAAGGAAAGGAACTTTCATGCTCAAAAAGGAACTGCTCAGAAAAATGCTTAACTTTCCTGTGTTTCCTGGTCATCAATGATCCCAATTTATTGTTCATTTTGTAAGGTTGTCGTAAATGACATCTGCGTCTACTCTACACTAAATAGTAGAGGAAAAACCAGCAGGTTCCACACCACCCTTCAATAAATTGTCTTTGTTAATATGTCAAGCTTTTGTGATAGTTTAGTATATTCACAAAAACTCTATTCCATGTGAATCTTCAACCTTTCAAAATCCAGGGTTACCCTTTTATATGGGATTGTATGCCAGACGAGCCCACAGACGATACAATCCCGGCTCAGGTGGAAGCAACAGGAAGAGGGAAACAAAGATTAATAAACCACATTTTAAGTGTTCGTAAATGCTGGCCGAGAATGAGTGTGAGGGAGGTGAGGAAGGGCCTTTAGTAGATGGATCAGCTGCCTCTGATTGGATAGTTAGTTATAGTGGGAACTTCCTGAAACAAAGAAGGAAAGCCACAGAACACTACTTAGTTCATAACAAGAAGGATGAAGGCAATTACGTAGTTATTCTACATAAAAACACACTTGTTTTAACCCAAACCACGATCTTTTCCTAAACCTAACAAAGTATTTATGTTAGGTAAGTAAACCTAAAAACTAAGAACTAAGTAAACCTACGTTTGTTTTGAAAAGACACTGTATACACGTGATGAGCATCATTTTACATGCCGGCCCTAGCACGTCTAAATCTGACACTAGCGTAGAGCGTCATATTTTAAAGCATAAAGCATCCCTCACTGAGTCATGATCCCTGTTCATCCTGTGTGTGTGTGTACAGATGTGAAGCTGCTTGAGGACCAGGCATTCGTGGAGGGCGTCCAGGAGCAGGTGAACGGGGCTCTGCTGGAGTACACCCTGTCCACCTACCCTCAGTTCCAGGAGAAGTTCAGCCAGCTGGTTGTGCGGCTGCCGGAGCTTCGCTCCCTCAGCACGCAGGCTGAGGACTACCTGTGCTACATGCATCTGAGCGGAGAGGTGCCCTGCAACAACCTGCTCATCGAGATGCTGCACGCCAAGCGAGCGTGCGTGTGAGGGATACGCACAGGTGGCGCCCCCGTCCTGTGTTGTTTCTTGAGGTGAAACTGTGTGTGTGGGAGGGAAAGTGTGAGTGGGATGAAAAAAATTGAATGGCGATAGACAGGTTCATATGGGATCGTCTTCGTGAGGGCTTTTGTTTGAGTTGGAGAGGAGAAAATGTTTTTTAGAGTTTGGAATTATAAAGCTCCATCTGTACTCAAGGTAGTTACATTTTGAATGTTACTGTTTTCATATCAAGCAGAGCTACATTAATGTGACCTTTGTAAACTGGATTTTCTACCTTGTTTTCAAAAAATAGGGAATTAGATCTGCCTGTAGAGTTACATTATATCCTCTTTGACCCATGAATCCAACACCACGACAAGATGTTCTCCGTCCCACAGAGCTGCCCAGCAATCATTTAGACTCAAAGGACGAGGCTTCAACCTGCATCAGTGCTGAACAGTCATGAACACATTGTGACTGTTGAAGTATCTGTCCATAGCTGCAATCGGCATCATTTTTGAAACACCCATACATAAATATCCTTCTGATAAAACTGTAAAACTGTCTCCAACGCCACTTTAGGAGTTCTGTTGTAATCTGTAGATCTGGTGCTGGGTGGGCTGATGTTGAACTGTCACATGACAAAATGGGACTATTTGCGTGGAAACATCTATTGAATGCTTGCTGGGTGAGCTAATGTGCACTTTTCACAATTGTTAGTGTTAAATGAGTCGTTTTTGATCCAAATGTCAGATGCCAGTTTATGATTCCAGGTTCACCAACACTGTTCCCAGATTATTTTTTATTTTATTTTTTCAGATGCAGACAGACTTCAGGATAACACAGCACACTGTGGTCTCGTCAGACTAAACTAGCACTATCTCTACACTTGTTCTTTTTGTGCCACCAATCTAAAAAACAAAAAAAGTAAATATGAAAGCTCTTGAATATAGTTTTGTTTTAATCTATTTAGATGTTAATATATTGATATATAGCAGCTAGACATGCTAAGAAAAACACATTATTATTCAGTTATTCATCATACCCTTACCAAGAAAGAGACAATGAAAGGGAGACAAAGATAGATAAGAAAGAGGGACGCAGACAATGAAATGGGGAAAATGAAAAAAGGGGAAAAATTGTACACAGTGAAGCATTATGGATGAAAAACTAAAAGAAAGCCAGAAGACTAAGGAGCAGAAAGAGGAGTGAAAGAAGACACATCAATGTGCAAACGATAAGGGAGAGATGAACGGCAAAGACAGAATCTTTCCTTCCTTAAGTAGAAGTGTGAATAACAACAGCAACAACAACGCATACGTCAGTGTTTGCCCTTCAGTCTCCACCGAGGAGGCAGACAGAGACGACACAGGGAGGGAAGAGATGCGCCCGGCGACATTTGGTTTCAAGTTTCTTTGTCAATTTAGATTTGTTTGTGGGTCAGTCATGTTCACGCTCACCTTTCAACACACTGTACTGTACGTATGATCTGAGTGTGTGCTGATAGCGATATGTTTTGGACTGAAGATGCTGAAGAGTTGTAGGTTTTTCGTAGGCTATCGATTATGAAAATGACTTTCCAAACTTACACATTCTGTAAATAATGTTAATGCTTTTTTTTCTTCTTATTGTCAACGAATCCCATGAAAAGACCAAAACCATCAATGTGTCAATACTTTCTGACTTCCCAACCCTGTCTGTGCCTCTGTCTCAAGCCGACAACAGTTGTATATGAAAATGTAATTTTGCCCCCCCCCCATATTTGTAACGACCGTCGTCAAATGCCACCAAGAACTTGAGGAAAGCTGATTTTTTTAGATATTGTGTGTTAGACAACTCCAAAAAACCCTGGATGCTCACTGAACACCTCCTGCTTCATGTTGTTGTTCATCTCAACCAGCAACAGTGAACACAACAGCTGTACACAACACACAGGTCAAACAGTCTGTTTCATTGACAGCATCACTGATGCACACTTTAAATATAAAGCAGTGTTTAAACAGTGTTTGCCTGTGTAACGGGCTGGCTGACTTCTACTCAGTCACTATTCTTTCGTACACTGATGTTTCACTTAACAGTATCACTGAACCGACCAGGTCAGCACTGTGTTGGTGGTTAAAACACTTCCTGTGCAGTGGGCCTTGTCTGTGGCACACGATCCTCATCTGTTCACCCAACATGTATCTGCTGGTTAAAGACGTAATACTTTGTGTTTGATCATTTTACACAGTGAGCTTGTATACAGAGTATGTCAGGTGTGCGCGCATTTGGATACAAACAAGAGCCAGTACCGACAGCTTCATCAACATGAACATTACCCGTTAGGGCTGTATTTTGATGTGCTGATGTGCTGATGGCTCCATCTACCCCCCAGCCCCCCTTTATAATTGCGTTCATATGAAGTGCAGAATATTGACATAGAAATTAGGGTCTGCGTCCTAAATTACACGTGTGGTTAGACCAATATTTAGTTCAGCTTGAAAATGAAAATGTTACTCATTTACTCATATTCTCTACGCTTGGTAATGTTACTACTCCAGTGCTTGTTTGAGTTAAAACCTCACCCGACTTGACTGTTTAGTTTATACGGAAGTTAGCTTGTTACGACGGTAGCAAGGGCAACATACACATAAACGTCCTGCAATGTTGAGTAGAGTGGGAATATGTTCTATTCTATCTCTATGGCTGAAACAACATTTGTTCATGGTAATGTTAGCCAACGTTTCTTTGGAAGAGGGAGTTATTTTGTTTTGGTTGGCCCTAAACAATCAGTAGCGATAGACACATCCATCCTGCCTGCAGCATCTTTAGTCACCACAGAAGCTTCCAGAGCGTCAGAGAGGTGGAGCACATTTATGGAGAAATGTTGCTGAAAGTCAACTTATAACAGCAACCTGTACAGTCGCCTCGATCTCATCCACACCTGGCATATGTTCTTTTTCTGACACTATTTTTCAACGGTGTAGCTTGGTAGCTAGCTGGATTGTTTCTAAAAAAGGCGTAATTAGACATCAAAGAGCACAACAACAGACCTTTCTTTTAAATTAAGAGTTTCTTTATTACTTGACCAACGTATGTCCCCTATAAATAATGAATTAAATAAAGAAGTTAGTGTCTATTACAGACTTTTGTTCTCAGGTTGATGAGTGTAAACATCATGGGTCAGTAATACTCTCCATTGATTAGTATATCTGACATATTCCTGTATATTTTTTATATTTTGAACAAAATATCTTGTCAGAAAACCAGTGAACCCCACTGCAGGCTTCATCGGCCCATACACAGTGTCAGAGAGCTCAACACTGTGCTGTGTGTTTGGAGCAGGCAGTGATGTATCTGTGCCACTTACTATGTTGAATGTAACACCAACGTTTTTCCCCAAACTGAACTGGTGGATGTTTGAAAAGTGGCACACCCTATTATTTAAAGCACATGACTCTCAGCGATGTTGACAATATAACGGATCTTCACTGTCACCAGCTGAGAAACAGAGACACAGTCAAAGCAATGTTTATAATATTGTGCAGCTCAACTTTCTCACTGTGGACCTTTAAAATCATTCCTTGCTCATCCATTTCAAGGTATCGTAGACAATCACTCCGCCTGCCTTAACTTAATGTCTGCCTGCACAACATGCACACACACACCTTCGTTTTCCAGTTGAGATATCTGTGCGTTATCACTCTGTACAGTATATTTATGTTGTGAAGTGACGATCTGCTGCAAGATGAAGATACATTTCAACGGAAAAAAGTTCTCCGCTTTATGTTGAGGTCAAATCGCTTCTGTTGTGGAACTGATTCTCTTGATGTTGCCTTTGTTTTTGCTCTTTGTTCATTTTTTGTTTCCCTGTGAGTTGACCGTCCCGTCTTAAACTTAAAAGTGTTTTTTTCTCTTAAAAGAGAAAGTGACCAAAACTTTTTTCTTTAAATATATTTTATTGTAATAGCATCAAACCAATAAATTTCAGTGAAGTAAAGCTCCACTTGTGTGTCTGCTATTATTTCACAACATTCATCAGTTGTGCACAAATGATCCAGAGCTCACAAATAGAAGTTTCTTCACATCGGTCATCGTGTCGCTGTCGTTTAGCCTCGTCCGACTCACAGACACATCATCAGCTACATTCTAACAATAAACATCAGTTTTACAAACAAATACTGGAAAGTAATCACCATTTAATATCTCTTCACATTCGTCTTGAGACTGTGACATCTGTAAGGTATAAAATGCTTTTTTCATGCTATGATACATTTTTCATATTTTAAGGACTGATTACATTTCATGGTGGAACAAAACGGAAATTAATTTATTTCTCAAATGTCCATCTACAAAAATGTCTCAGTGTAGAACATGCCATTCCTGTTGAAGAATACTCAACTCTGTTGGTAACTCTTACCAAGTTAAGGTTACTGAATAGTTTTAATTGTCCTTGGCTAAAGATGCTGCTACGTGAGGATGGACCCACACTCACAATGTAACTACAGGACACGTGCCCAAAGCTCTTGGCAATGACAGCGGGTAGTAAACATTTGATGCCAAGTGGGGCTGAATGTCTGTTGACTCACTGCAATTTGATTTGCTACTTGCCAAGTACTGTTGTCTCTTGAAGAACAAGTTAGTATTAATATGTTTATTTTATTAAGAAAATTAACTGCAACCACAACAAAAGACATGACACATGCCACGTCCCAGTAGAGAATCAAACCCTTGACCTTCCGGTTCCCAGACAACCCTCTTAACCAGTGAGCCAGTCACCCCTTGTTGAACATAACAGCAGATACAGTAACAAAGACCAAGAATTGTGATTCCTATTTTAATATAAATACCAGCAATTACAACATGATTCTTGTCAGGTCCGGCTATCTACAGTACACGCCCAACGGAGTCACCAGCTCAGTCGCCAGGAGAACATGTTGGCATTGAACATTGTGCAAACCATGCATTCGTTGAATGTGGACGTTCTTGCAGTACGTGACCGTACAAAGTCATTTATGTTTTGAGAAACGTCCACACTTAACATATCACAAGGTTTGTATTTTCTCTGGTGACTGCGTTGGAGTCACACAGACCCTCACAGACATTCAGCACGTTGTAAGAGTTTCAGCCTTCAGCTTATAGTGCATCCTGCTGTAGGAGAGACAGGGGAGACGTAACATGGCTGCTGCTTTTATTATACACAACAAGGGAGAAACAAGACAATTCTGCAGCGTCTGAAGCATTCACAAGTTTGAGAGAAGATAGTGGAGATAAAAGTAGCAGAGGCAACACAACATGTGAGTCTTGTTTCTCAAGTCAGAATATCTCTGAACACTTGACACAGCATCATGTCTGCTGTACAGTCTTATTTAATGCTCTCTGTAATCATCTATTTGAACACTAAGACCATAAACACACTACAGAAAGGCATTATCATGCTGTCCAGGCTGACAAAATGTTTGGTAACTATAGACAACATTTAATGAACCACAATACCAGGGGCCACAGGCCTCTGTTCTCTGTGGGAGGCTTGAAATACGACTGACCTGTAGAGCAATTTACAGGAAACATTAGGACAGAAGAGTGAGAATGAAGCCCAGTGTTAATATCCCTCAAATATATGTTACTGTTTTCAAACAACATGTTGTGATGCTAGGAGCACCGCTAAAGAAAAGGTCTGCTTCACTTCACCCAAAACCTTCAAAGTGATTTGTGATTTTGGTGAGCTGACCCTTCGGTGCGACGTCTTGTTGTTGGCTTTCAAAACAAAGACTCATTTGTGCCTTGTAGAGATCAGGTCACCTGTTTACAATACCAAGCCATTGATGTTTGCTGCTTATATGATGAATCCCATGAAAATAAATCCATTACGTCTACTGTATGTGTTCCCAAGCTGAGGACTCACAGACTGGGGACTCTTAATCTAATATGGCTGCCAGTGAGTCAGCGACATCACCTAAAACGTGCCCGTTTGTAATTCTGTTGGTGGTCAAAGACATACA